TCTCTACGCCCACACGCCTTTGTCGTTACACCGAACCGTTGTCAAGTGCTACGTCGCAGCCGGACTTTTGACGAGTGCGAGATGAGGCGTCGGCGTGCTCGAAGGCAGCGTCTGCTCGACTGCCTTGTGTCTGCTTCAGACACCAGCAACCAGACGACGGCAGATGAGGCGGAGGAGGACCTCCTTCTTCCTGCCGCGACTACCCTCATTCCTGCATCGTCATCATCATCCTCATCAGATTGTCTGTTTTTCCTGGTGCCGAACGTACCTTCCACAGGGAAGAATGGAGACGACGCCGGTGGCAATCGTTGGCGTTCCCGTAGGTCAGTGCGGCACTTCGAGTCCCAAGTTGCTTTCCCATCCTTCAAATAACCTACCCATATTTACATATCTATATATTGCTTTTAGATGCGAAAATGCGAATCCCCTGGCATAAATGAGAAGAAGAAGAGGCGATCGCAGGAACCATAGTTTTATTCTCCTGACGTTTCAAAAGCATACAGGCTTCCGTCATCAGAGGTGGGAGTTGTACTGCGCCTCATAGTATTTATAGGTGTCAAAACATGAATATGACAGATTTAAACTTAGCGGAAGGGGGAGCAGAAAGAGCTCATAAAACATCCTGTCACTCTATGAGGCTAACAGGTTGAGGTCAGCTTAGAGGCCGTCCCCGTGTTTATTGTTCAACGTCCGTGTGCAGCTATGTCCATTGCGGATTTATGAGGTCAGTGGATAGGGCTCATAAAACATACTGCCACTTCTTGCGGTGATAAAAAATGACAAGTTGAGATCAGTTCAGGGTCCTTTGTCGTGATTATCTTTCACCAGTGTGTCGTTGTTTTCAGCCTAATCGTCGGTCTCAGCTGTCGTCCCAAGGTAGTGATTTTGTACAGGTCTCTGCTGAACTGTCAAGTCAAGTTTATTAAAGGAAATATAGGCAAACGCCTTTGAACTCCCTCATCGACCTTAGCTGTCTCCCCAGGTATACGATCTTTTTTGCGCCATCCTGTCCGTCTGATTCTGTGCCTATAGGGTGACTGGCAGAGCTGGCGGAGTTGATGCCTGCTCTTTCGTCGTGTCCGGGATGCGGAAAGATTCCGTGTGTCCGTCATGGTCTCGCCCGTGGGTAGATTTACGTTAGGTCTAGGTTCTCGTGTGCCACTTCGTTCACCGAGCTGCGTTCGGAGGGCTTTGTAGGCGGCGGGAAGCGCCGCATAACGGTTTATGGAGGTTGGTCCAGTGTGCCAGGCCTCGATTGTTTCCCTGGCTTCGCGGTTGTTTCC